CGAGATCTTCCACAAACACCATGCACGGCTCCCTCTACTGTTAGTTCCGTGACACCCACTTACCCACCCGTCCGGGGTCCCCGCCAAGCACATGCCTAAGGAGGAGCCACTTCCCACGGCACAGCCATCTCCCGGAGCTGGCCCGAGAAGTGTGCTGCCCACGGCCCTGGTCCACAGTCTCTCTGATGTCATAGATAGCAGAAAGTCTCTGTATTTCTCACATACTCTGAAAAGGCTTGGAAAAGCAAGCTCCCTCAAAACCGAATGCTCGTTCACAGTCTCGAAGTTTCTACAGAATTCAGGACAGAAAGCCCATGAGTATTTCCTTCTTCCTTTTCAGTCCTCAGCTACTCTTTAAAACACTTCGGTGCTTGTCCTCCTCCGATGTGCTATGCATGTGCTGGGGCAGAATACTTGAGATACACGGCTTGCGGAAAGTTGTCTGGTTTCAGACAACCCCTTTGATTTACGACCCTGTGGCTAAATCAGTGCAGGATTTTGGCGAAAGACCAATTCCATTTGCTTACAAGTCTGATCCTGAGGCTCTGGCGTTTCCCGGGCAATCATTTGCTTTTAATTACTATTCGATTCTACCACTGAAAGAATTCGGCTGGCTAACCCTTCAACTGCACAAAAAATCTAGGCAGAGGGTGACAGCTGCCCTGATGTTAAGCTCAGTTCAGGCAAAGCCTCTCCTTTCGGGGTTATTTTATGCAGTCCTGATTTTTCGTAGCGAAGGGTAGCCAATTTCATCCTGAAAGAATCCTCCCGGCACACCTGATTCTCTTCAAAGGCAATGTATTTGCCAAAGGATTCTGAACCTCACAGCAAAGCTGTATAAAGCTTAGAAAAACAAGTTGATTTAAAGTTTCTATTTTTACACGGTGTCCCGTTTCCAGAGGGGCTGAGACTAGTGGTTTCAAACTCAATTTAGCATTTAAACTAATTTTCAGCCAGGTCTCTACGGACCGGCAATTAGGGGGAGGCAAAGAGTTCAAAGAGGCGGGTGGCGGGGGGAGTGCGGTCTCTCCGGATGTGCTCCCAGCCCTCCTCCTTCCCGTTCCCAGCGGGTGAGGCGACCCGCCACTGGCCAGCAGGCAGGGAGCACCTGGGGCTTTGCCTGCACCGAGTCTGGAAAGGCACCAATGGCCAAGTCCGTTTATTCTTCTCGTAGCTGTCCTGGGGAAGGATCTAAAAACTTCCTGAGGACCTGGCGGCATGCTGCAGGCCAAGACGTTCAACGCCAGGGACAACAAGAGAAGAATGGGCCCTTTCAGCTCCCAGAGCCACACAGACCTCACTGGCCTTCGAAGGACGCCCCTGGCCACGCGGGCTGGCAGTCGAGGCGGTGGACAGGGCTCATCGGCCCTGGACGCCTGCCTGGGTCCTCCTCCCAGCCCTGCCGCCATCTTTAGCTGTGGCCACTGCACTCCTCTGAGCCTCAGGGTCCTAACTTTCCTAATTCATTGAAAGTTTGCATGGTGATTCTGTTTAGATAATACGGGTTCATGGCACAAACTGCAAAAGGTACAAAAAGGTATACAGTGTTGAGGCTCCGTCCAACTGTCCTCCAACTGTTCCCTTCCCCGGAGACAATCATTTTGTTTCTCACGTCCCCTTCCAGAAATACTGCCCCCTCTGTAAGCTTATCTTGTTCTCCCTTCATTATTAGTTTTACACAGTGGTATCATACTGTTCCTACTCTTCTATACTTCTTCCTCCACCCCTTGCCCGTCCCCTTTCACCCTCCCCCTCCTCCTTCTTCTTAACAGTATGCCCAAGGTTCTTTCTACCTTTAAAATTTCTTAAATCAGGGCATTAGGATTGGGGCTTAAAGGATCTATGTCTTAAGAATCTGGGTAAATGTCCTCACGATCGCCTTAGCAGGGGAGGGAGCAGAAAATGGAAGGAGATGCTTCATAGTGAGTCATCATCAAACACCTGGAGGCCCGTGGTCAATGTCATCCCTCTAGGAGACACCTGCCCAGAAGGGCTACCTCCTCCAGGAGTGGGGAGAAAGGAGCATTGGTGGAGGGCCCTTTCCAGATGGCGGGCAGCATTCTGCACACCAATCCAATCGACTCTTATAGTCTTCCCACTTTATAGAAGAAAAATTAAGGCTTCAGAAGGTCAGATGACACAACCAACACCCCGCAGCTGACGGACACAGAAGAGGATTCCAGGATTGGCTACCACCTCCAAAGTCCATATTCTCATCAATTTATCCAGACAGTGTTAAAAAAAAAAAAAAAAAAGCATGTCTCCCACTTTTTTGTTTACAAAAATCCTAAGGTCAGCCTTACAACTGTCATCCTTAGTCCCTGTGCCAATGGTAATAACTCACAGTCAAGACATTTTTCCTCCAGGAACCACAAGTGTGTGCCTTTGCCCTCCCAACAGACAGGCTCTGTTCAGTGAGTCGACTGACAGCATGAGAAATCCCTCCTACAGGTCTGGGAAGGAGTGGGAGAGAATCTTCCAGAGCTGCAAGTCTTAGGAATACTGATTTTACCTGTCAGGCCTCCTGATGAGGCATGCCACAAGTACCACAGTAAATTCAGAGTGAGGGGGTAGAGGTAAGAAGAGAAAGGTGTTATGGTTAAATCTGTTTTTCTTTTCAGTCCTAAAAAGAGCCTCCATAGGCATCTGAAGCTGAGGGAAAGGAATCTGAACCTGAATGTGTGCAAGCTATCAGCCCAAGGTCAGGTGCAGACAGCAGAGCAACCAGACTCCAGCTCGGGCAGCTCCAGGGCTGCACCTGCCTCTTCCCGCAGCAATTCAGCCTCCTCCCTCGGACTCCCTCCTCCATATTCAGTTCCCTGCTTCAATGCTCCTGCCTCTTGGCTGTCTGTTGTTGAGCAGTGTCTCTGCTGGTGGGTGAGCACGCCACGAAAAGGACTCTCTGTGCATAGCAGATCTTCATAAAGCTTCAGAGTGGGACCCGGTTGGTGCTCTTGGCTTGCATAACGTTTCTGGATTATCTGTGGGCCATTTTGATTCATGACATTCTTACCTCTCATTACCATAGATAGTTGAAGAGTTGGCTAGATTGTACTCAGAGAAAGCCAAATGTTTGGACGAAAGCTCCTTACCCTGCTGCTCTCTCACACCAGAGATATCAAGAGCAGTTCTATTCATAGGGCAGCAGGTGGCTCAGTTGGTTAAACATCCGACTCTTGACTTCACCTCAGGTAATGATCTCACGGTTTGAGAGTTCAAGCCCCACATTAGGCTCTGTGCTGCCAGCATGGAGCCTGCTTGGGACTCTCTCTTCCCCTCTCTCTCTGGCCACCCCACTCACATGCTCTCTCAAACTAAACAAACATTAAAAATAAAAAGGAGGGAAGTGCTGTTTAGCAGCAGCATACAGCACCGCCTCTGGATGACACTTCCACCTGGAAGGGTCCCACGATGGTACTGGGAGCCCGTGACTCCTAAAAATCTCCCCAGAAACCGCACCCGTGCCCAGGTGCCACTGTCCTCTGGATGCCTTTGTGTGATGTGCATTTGGGTGGAGCTTCAGCTTCTCAGCTCCTCCCCCATCCTGAGGGGTGCTGGGGGATCCCAGGCAGATACTGGGACGAAGGCAGGCAGGAAAGGCCACCCTCTCCCTCACTGCCCTAACTCACTTCTTCCTCCTCAGTGCGTCTGGCACCTTACGGCAGGACACAGTCAAGCCGTGAGCCCAGGGAGCGCTGGGTCTGGGGCCCTGGGCCCTCCGTCTGGCTTCACCTCACACGTGGGGACAGTCCCTGGTGAGATGCATCTAGAGGAAGCAGCCTCCGCCAAGTGGGCTTCCTCAGCAGATTTCCCACAATTATAATAAAGGCGACTTTCATTACAGGAGCTCACAATAACACAGATAAATAGAAGATAACACCAAGTGGTCTTTGGCAGGGAAAGTACTCTGGGATATCTCTACCAGTCATAAATGAACTCAAAGGACTAAGAAAAAAAAAAAAAGATGAAAAATAATGAGTAAACTGTCAAACAGAAGTCAAATGGGGCCCCTCATTTAGAAAATCACTGTTCTAGAGAAGATTCCACAGAAGCCAATCTGATGCAGGGGAGCACTGGAGAAATCTCCCCTGGCACCCTCTCTGCACCCCCTCCCTGTCTAGAGCTTCCCCAACTTCTGCGGTGGAAACGATCATGTTACAGGCTGACACGGATTCTGAGCCCATGGGAAGGAAATGCTTTGTGAATTCCAAATATAATTACTGGACTATCATTCAAGAAAAGAACATTATAAGGTTTTAATTGTTTCCTGCCCCCCTCCGTCCTCCCTGGTGATTACAGTGACTTTACATTTCACTTAGTCGAATGGAAAGAATGTGGGGTCTGGAGAAAGAGGGCGGGGTTCAAGTTCCAGTGCAGAACCTCCCTAACTGGGTGACCTGGGGCAAAAGACAACCCCTTGAGTCTCTGCTGCCTCTCCCCTCAGCCCGATAGGGTGGCGACATCTGCCTCAAGGGGTCCTTGTGAAGACTGACAGCAGTAACGTGGGTGGGTGTAAGACCACAGCCTTACAAGAGCCCTGTCGCTTTCCCTCAGGCACCCCTCCGCCTCCTCCAGGGCTGGGATCATTGCTGTCGTTGTCTCTCCCAAGTGTGGTTATAACATCTCCGAATTCCCTTTATGCTTTCCTCTTAGAATCAAAGCAGATATTCCTGAAGGGTCAGAGCTAAACAGAGCCTTACAAATATTCTAGAATAACCACCCCAGGAACCCCTAGCACACCAACAACCCCACTACCACCACCCATGTCAACAGGAAAACCACAGCCCCTGGCCGTAGAGCAAGGTGGTGGCCCAGCCAGGTCTCCTGCTTCTGCTGCGCGTGCCTCCCCGTGCAGCCCTCCACATCTCCCCCATGACGCCGGGTGCTTCCTCTCATGGGGCGCTTTGGGCCCCACTGACACGTCTCCCTGCGGGCCACTCATCTTACTTAATAAAGAACAAACAGCCCGCAGGCCGGGAGGGCGGTCAGCTGCAGGGTACCTTGGCATTCTGCAGCGGGGGCTGGTAACTGGACGGCCGATAGAACATCCTCTGCGAGGCGTCGGTGTGGATGTCCCCGAGGAAGAGCTCCTCCACCAGGCGGTCCAGGTTGTGCTGGAGGTACTGCTTCTCCACGCGGATGAGCTGCAGCTCGTGCATGGCGAAGTTCACGGCCTTGGTGCACTCGCAGCCATTCTCTTCTCGCCACAGGTCGTAGGGCACGTCCTGCACCCAGGGGCCCCCGGCCGGCACGAAGCCGGGGCACGTGCGGTTCACCAGCTGGCTGAGCCTCTCGGCGACGGCCTCCGTGTGGCAGACGACCTGCACATTGTGCAGCTGGTAGTCAGCCTCAGTGCCCCCGCGGATGATCCAGGAGGCCTGGCGCAGGCGGACCTTGCCCCGGATGACGAGGGTGTAGGTGGGGCTCGTGCACCTGTTGCCGCCATAATAGAACTGGTAGGCCTTGAAGGTGTTGTTGTGGTAGAATCTGTAGGACCTTGTGATGAACTCTGGGCCCGACCTCACTTCACAGCTGGAGGAGAAAAGGGGAAGGAAGGCATTTTAAAACCCAAAGGCATGTGGAACAGATTCGTTACCCTGTCAAGAAATCATGGTCATGATAACAAACGTTTACTCGGCTGGACATTACTCTCTGCCTTCAGAGACACCAATTCATTGAATTCTCACAACAACCCCTGAGTAAAGTAGTATTGTTTCCATGTTACAGCTGGGGAAACCAAGGCACAAGAGATTAGGGAATGTGCCCCAGGCTCCAAAACCAGCCAGTAGCAGGAGCAGACCAGGAATCCAGGCCGTCTGGCTGCAGGTCTGTGTTCCTAATCTCTCTACACCACATTCTTTCATTCATTTTATGAACAAGCCAGGAGAGCCCAATCCTGCCAGCCTCACTTCCACCCAGCGGCCCGACTGCAGAGAAGTGTCTTCCTTTCTGGTGGGACGAGGGAAGAGTATAGTGCTGGCCTATGAAGGAAGTATCCTTATGCTAGTGCAAAAAGAGTTGATTTCCTGAACAATTCCCTTTTATGGACCTTGTCTAGAGCAGGCAGGTGCTGGATGTCTGTCATCCTGAAATGGAATCCAGTCTGGGGAGAAGTCACTTAGAGGCACTTGCACATTCACCCTCCCATCTAGTGAAAATTAATTTTCCCTCTCCTGGAAAAACAAAGGGTCCATTAGTGAAAAAGCAAAGCTAACATAACAACAGATATAAGGGTCCGTTCCGTCTGTGCTGACAAAATGACAATGACAAAATGGTTTTATGCTGTGGCTTTAGATAAATGCTGGATTCCTAGGCCAGAAATACTTGGATGAGGTCTACAGGGCACAAATGGCTCACAGGAACTGATCACCGCTGTACCTGTGGCCAGTTCCTGTCTCTGTAGCACAGCCCGCACCAGAGAAATGCTGGAGAGTTCCTTCAACACATCGGCCAAAGAGCCAAAGACTCCGTCCTCTGTAACCCTCTGCTAGATCCCACTCTCAGTTATATCATGCCTTACATGTCATCAGTTTTGGCCTTATAAATCTGCTCCAATCTGTGATATGTATATATATGTATATATGTGTGTGTGTGTGTATATATATATATATATATACACACACACACACATATATATTTTCATATATATATACACACAATGTAATATCAGAACTCAATGTGATACACAATATATCATATATCATGTTATATCTATAGTATTTACTATATGTTATTTATAATAATTTTGGTTTGAGCAGATCCAGCATCGCTAAATCAAGCAGTGGGGCTGAAATCTCAAAGGCCCGTGCTTCTCAAAATTGCTAACATGTCCTTTTTTTCAGCTCACACACTGGAGAGAGGTAAACATTACTCCAAGCGGGCAACTCCCTCTGGGGAGGGCAGTCAGTGAACGTCCGATGAGGGTGCATGCACAGAAGGCACTCAGAGGAACTTGGCAGAGTCTGCAGAGAAGGCTTGGAAGGAGACAGACATAACGCTCCTCCCCCCTAGGAAGGAGGCTCCCTTTGGCGTGAGTGGTAAATGCAGTTTAACTGCTCATCTGGGCACTGGTGGTGGTGTGCCTCGGGGGGCTCCAGAGCTCGGCGCTCTGAGCACCTCAAGTCCTCCACACTCCACGGACCCACCACCTCCCTCACCTAGGCCTCCTCGCCGCTAGATGCACCTGCTGCGTCTTTTAATTGGTCAACCTCACATCACTTTTCTACCACTCAGCCAGGGTGCCTCGCATGAAAGCATGGTCTTTGCTGCAAACTCGTCAAAGACCTTCCAGTTCTCCTCTTGGATGGTAAGTCCAGTTCGGACAGACGTGCTCTGGCTGGCCTTGCCTGCCTCAGGAGCCTCCTCTGGAGCTGTTCTCCCCAGATCAGACACCCAGGTTTACTTGCACCTCAGCTACAAGGATTCTGGGTCAGTTGTTTCTCCAACCCAGCCTTTGCTAGTTCTTCCAGATGGAAAGCTCTTCCCTGGGTCTTTGCACAGCTAACGACATCCCAGCTCAAGTGTCCTCTCCTTCGGTAGCCTTTCCTGACCCCACCCCCATCCTAAAATAAGGTCCCTGGTATTCCCCTTTAGCACCTGTTGTTTTTTTCCCTCTTCATAGCACTTCTTTGTATGTTTATTTGAAAAATTCCTGAAGACAGGGACCATGTCTTGTTTTGTTCACTGCTATGTACACAAAATCTAGAACAGTACTTGGCACACAGTAAATAGTTGTGCAATCAATAAATATTTTTTTTTAATAAAATGATAAATTATTAAAAGCACATCGCGTTCAGGCTGTGCAAATATTTACCATCTCCTTATTTTAAGAAACCCCATCTTTAGAAAAAAATAAAACCTCTGGGTCTTCATCATCTTATAAAATTCCTTTTTTGTCTTCTCTGTGTGCATTTGATCCCTCCCCAAGGTACCTGGAGGCTGCAAGGGAGAAGTGATTAGATCCCAGAGTGAGCCTCGTTAATTCTCAACAATTTAATGGGTAGGGGAAAAACTGCAGGTCTGCCTCTAGGCTATTTTTAAAAGCTCTAATGGAAGATAAGCCAGAGCTCAAACTGGGATAAATCTCAGCTCTGCAACCTGGAAAAGAGTCCAAGATCTACGCCCTGGCTAGTAGAGGTAGCCTGAGTACTTTTTCACGTACTCTTAGAACCCTGAAGCCGTATATTAAATTACCAGAATATGGCTAGAATATTTAGACCATCAGAACCTTGCAAGTCATGTTTCAGGGTTGGTGAAACACAGACTCCTAATTTCACTTGCTAATGGTTTCTTTTCATACACGAGTGGTCCCACAGACTTCGGTAAACAAGGACCCATTCACTCACACCCCTTGGTTAACAGTGGTACATCTCTGCTTTAGCTAAGATTTCTACAGTACTTAGCTCTGTTTCTTTACCAACCAGAGTTTCAAAGTGTTGCTTGGCTTTTAGTTAGAACTTAGATAACACCTACACCATTGCAGATAGGAGACAGTCTCTGTGCATCTGAGAAACCCTAAGAGAGGCCTTCCATAGACGTTGTGCTCTCTGGTCCCTCCCTGGCCCGGTCCAGCCCTGGCCCTCTTACCCAGTGGACACCCAGTGGCCCTCGATCGCTGGTGGCATCTGCACAGTGATCCTGGCGCCATTGTGGAGATGTTTGAGCATGTGATGGCACTGTGATTCCTTGAAAGCCCTCCAGGCACTTTTCTCTAAGGATCTGGGATGGGATCTGCTGTCAGGATGAAGGAGGGCAGAACCCTCTCCCAGCCCTGAAAGAGAAAAGTGGAAGTTCGCTGAAAGGAGAGCTTGCAGCAGACAGGAAGGAGTCAGGCTGAGGAACTGCTCCTTGGCCGGAAATCACTGCAAGTGGGAAACGCACTCCTACCCCGCCACGCTTATCACTGTCTCTGTTCTCGTGGAGTTCACATCTCAAAGGCAGAGGTGTCCCTGGAGACCGTTTCCCAGGTGGGAAAGCCGAGGCCCATGGAGACAACACAGACTCGCGGGAGGTCTCTTGGCTAGTTCCTGGCAAAGCCTGAGCTCAAATCCGTGCATCTGTGAAGCAGCAAATAAGGTCGTGCATCCAAACGAGCAGCTTACAGTGCAGGCAAATGAATGTAACAGGGACTGAAGAGAGAAAGGAACATGTCCCAAGGGAGGAGTAAGAAAGGGGTCGTGCGGGGACCCATTTAGGGGAGGAGGGGGAAGAGTGTGGAGATCAGCCTCAGTGGAAAGGGAAAGGGAATTGTGATGGAGGGGAGAAAGGCCCAGGAACAACTTGTATGGACTCCCATCTGACATGTGCTCCCTGGCTTGGCTCCCAGCTGTTCCCGCCAAGCCTTCCATCCTCTGGTTCTGTCTCTGGATGGACACCCTCCACGGGGCTGCCCATCAGTCGGGTATAAGTCATATTACCCGCCCTACAGTGGGGAAGTGTGGGACACTTTCCCCCAGTTACATTCCCACTCCAACTCTTCACACCCACAAAGTCGGTGACAATACAGGGTTCTAATAGGAATAACTACAAGAAGACTGTACATTTTTATTTCCCATGGGTAAAGGGATATTAGGACTAAGTTTGTCTTCAGTATAAGTGGTTTATGTTGCCGGACACTTAACCATGCAAAATAGCCACCAGCCCCACGTTCAGAATAAAGCCATGCTGGCAAATGAAGTTATACTCTGAAAACCCATTGTTTTGAGATTCACTCCTGAAGTAATTAACACATTAATACGACTTCATCGTGGACCTACTAGGTACTCAGCACCTTGTTAGCAAGCCCCCCGCCCCCCCGCAAACCCCAGTTAGACAAATGTATAAAAACAAAATAGAAATATACACGAAATAAATAAAATGCATCTGTTAGAATGCTACCTATGAGGGGGCAATCATATATTTTTTAATCAACACCTTAATAACTTCATAGAGAAACCATGGCTTACAAGAGAAAATTTAATTTAATTTAAAAATGAAACGTTAGGGGCGCCTGGGTGGCGCATTCGGTTAAGCGTCCGACTTCAGCCAGGTCACGATCTCGCGGTCCGTGAGTTCGAGCCCCGCGTCGGGCTCTGGGCTGATGGCTCAGGGCCTGGAGCCTGTTTCCGATTCTGTGTCTCCCTCTCTCTCTCTGCCCCTCCCCCGTTCATGCTCTGTCTCTCTCTGTCCCAAAAATAAATAAACATTGAAAAAAAAATTAAAAATAAATAAATAAATAAATAAAAATGAAACGTTAGACCCAGAATATGGTGACTTACAGCAACATGATGAAATCTACTGGGGAAACTCAGACCCACAGGTTGATAACATTCAGATATTTGTAAAATATTCAGATTTTCAGATATTTGCCATGATTCAGAGGGCTGAACGAATCCTTTGTGGAAAGTCCTTGGTACTTGAGAAGACAGCAGTCTCCACGTGGGAAGTCTGGGGCTTTCCTCTGAGCAACATGCTGGCCGTGGGCTAGAGCAGGGATTATTCTTATGTATCTTAAATGAAGCGAACAGGGAACGAGGCAGAGACACCTATGGGTACAATTCAACTAAATGACAAGTGTGAAAAAAGATTCTAAAACGAGATGATGGTGCTGTGTTCAAATGACACGCAACCTCACCACCAACCCCGTGTCGCCCAGCCAGGTGATTGGGACCCCAGCCAGAATGAGCGAAACACTCAAATCCGAAATCCATGTTGGGTGGTGTCGATGCTCGTGGCTGTTCCATGAGGACCTTCTTTCCCGTGGCCCCTGCTTCCAGGGAGGAAGGAAGAGTGGCATTTCTCGGTACCCTTTCTGCCTCCCTCATTCACCCTTGCCCAGTGAAGCCTGGTGCAGGATGGAGAAGGAAACAAGTGTGTGTGACCACGCCCTTTTCTCTTTCTTTGCCAAACTGGCCTGTTTTCAAAATATAGTTCACCCTTGAACATGTTACATGTTTTATGTACTGTATTCTTACAATAAGGTAATCTAGAGAAAAGAAAATGTTCTCAAGAAAATCGTAAGAGAAAATAAATTTATAGCACTGTAGTGTCTTTATTGAAAAAAAAAATAGTCCACATGTAAGTGGACCCACTCAGTTCAAACCTGTGTTGTTCAAGAGTCAACTGCTCGTGTATCTTGATCAGCTCCCACACTCGCCACGTAGTAAGGACCCCACCCCTTCCGATGTTTGACTGTGGCACTAGGCCAGGTGGAAAGTCTGAAAACTTCAGGGGTGAACCGTTAGCAATCCTATCCTGGCCATCATCTATACGGTATCTTCTGATTTTTCTCACAATCCTCATGTTTTCATGCCTTCATCTGTCTGAGACCTCTGTTGATCTGTCAGTTGGCTTTGAACTAGAGGAGGGAGAGGGGATACTATGGACTATACCTCCCACCAATCCCAAGAGTTGTAATTATCCTGATGATGGGAAGCATTTCCTGAATTCCCTGTTAGGCAATCAAGAAATGAGAGACAGTACAGCTTGCTGTCTCTGGTAGGTCAATGGACTGTGTGATCAATTACAATGTTAATTCAAGTTACAAAGCAGTGGGAGTTGGGGAAGGCTCTGCTTTAAATGCGACACTAAACACTTAGTAAAGAACCATCAGCTCGCTATCAACCAAGCTATGTTCTAAAATTCGATTTGTAAGCCCCTTTATACCCCGCAACTGTTTTCCTGTAAAGATGATGAAAGCTGGGAGGGTAGTGGGTATGGGCGAAATATCTGGAGCTAGGCTGCGTGAGTTTGAAACTGGATCTGCCACTTGAAGGATTTCTCTGAATCTAAGACTTCAAGGATTGTTAAGATGCATCATTATTTTAGTACTAGTGACAAAACACTTGCATTTAAATGAGGACACAATGCCTGAACTACAGTCCCGAGATACCCCGAATCAGAGTAGCATTTGCTACTCTGACATCGCTTTTATCTGTTCCAAGAGATTTGACAATGTCTCTTGCTGCAATGCTTCACACGTGACAGGCAATATGTTTGCTTTGCAAGGATCTCAAGAGCAAAACAACAAACACAGCCACACCGTTTTGTGGGTATCTTCCTTTCCAGGTAATTGATCACTGCTAACATGAGAAAATATAGAATTGCAGTTATTCTTCCAGTGATAAGTATTTGCCTCGCTGATGTCACACTAACGCTCTGCTGCTCTGTTATGAGGCCACTCCAATTTTCACAGTGGTTTTTCTTTTCAGCGCAAAGAGTGTAATTTATCAGTAAGTTACAGAGAAAGCAACCCAGCATGCGGGGCTCAAACGTTTACTCTACTTTCAAAACCAACCTGTCTGCAACTAATCCATAGACATGGAGTCACAAGGACACACACAAGGGAAGTGATGGGATGACAGTGTGTGCCACTATGTCCAGGTTCACAGAGGCAAAGGCCGTATCACCCCCTGACTGCTCCCGGCAGGCTAACAGGGACTGGAACCCCCATCGACCATAAGATGCATATCCACTGCAGAGATCTTAAAATGACAAGAAAATGTGTTTCTCACAATCGATGAAACACACCATTAGCACTGTGACCTTAAACAAATGACTTAACCTCGCCAAGCTTCTGTGTACTCATCTGTAAAAAGGGGATAACACTACCCATCTCTTAGGGCTGGTCTCAGGATTATCGGAGACTGTCTTCCTTAGCACAGGCACATAGTTCTCATTAAATGCGTTATTATTTTAAATAACGATTAGGCTCTTAGACTGCCCTCAAAAAGTCCATTCTAACTAATAGAACAGCTAAAATAATGGGAAAAGTCATCCAGAGCCAGCCCCTCTGGGCTCTGAGAATGACACGGGGCTCCCCGGCAAAGTTAACTGGTGACCCTGATGCAGAAGAAGGTGGGACCCAAAGCACCGGGCTCTGTGGTTGTTGACGAGTTCTACTCAGTTTAACAAATACCTATTCACTCTTACTTTGTATATTTCAGGAGCTGGAAGCATGACCAAGAATGAAGATAAGTTTTTCTGACCTTGAGGCTCTTAAGCACTCATTGGCCTGGATGTCAAGAACAAGGGTGGAGATGATGAAGGAGGGCTCTGGGAAGGAAGCTGGGAGTTCAAAGGCAGAGGAAGAGGGAGTGGTGGTCAGGATTTGCATGGATCGTTCATAAGGCCAGTCACACAGGAAGGGAGCCTACAGTGATGCTTTCTAACCGAGGGTGGAAGAAATAAAACCCCAGAACCGCCAACACACAAACCATTGGAAAGCAGGCAAAAGATCATTACATCACTTGGGTTTCTAGAGACGTATCTCCACTTGGCCATCGCTCTCATCAGACAACGAGTAAAGCTCACAGACCCAGCAAGGCTGTCAGGGGAGGAGAGTGGTAGTGTGAGCAGCCAGATGGAGAAGAACTCTCCAGTTAGCACGGCTCCTCAGCACACAGTGAGTTAGGGTTTGCACTCGTGGCTGATGCTATACTTTTAGCATAGAAAAAATGGGATTTGTTCCCTTTCTATCTTTGCCCTTTGAAGTACCCACCACCTTGGTTACCATGAAGGAGCAAAATTAAATGGGTCACGTGAGGGGCGCCTGGGTGGCTCAGTCGGTTAAGCGTCCGACTTTGGCTCAGGTCATGATCTCACAGTCCGTGAGTTCGAGCCCCACGTCGGGCTCTGGGCTGACGGCTCAGAGCCTGGAGCCTGCTTCAGATTCTGTGTCTCCCTCTCTCTCTGCCCCTCCCTCGTTCATGCTCTCTCTCGGTCTCAAAAATAAATAAACATTAAAAAATAAATAAATAAATAAATAAATAAATAAATAAATAAATGGGTCACGTGAAAGTAGGACCTGCTGTATGGTAGGAGAAACTGTCTTTGGTCTGCAGTCACCTGCCAACAGTGGTCTCCAACGTTTACTCGTTTTGTCTGGTGTGGAAACTCTGAGAGGCTTTCTCATGAGTGCTACTTCTATTAATTGGCTTAGAATTAAAAGGCCATTTGAAGCACCAAGTCTAGCTGCAATAGAGGTCAGGTATAATAGTTCTCCTTATCCCCCAAGACTTCCTCCTCTATTTCAGCCATGGTGTGCCCTCCAAGGAGACCAGCCTTACTAACCCAGGGACCCCTTTGTTCATTGTATCACTCAGAGTATGTCAACTCCAATTTGGGACTGAAACTAGTAACTCATTCATCAGAATGAGAAACCATCAGAATGGTTCTGAAGGGCCAGGCTCTGTTCTAGGCACTGAAGCTACACACATTATGCCCTCAGGGAGTCTCAGTTGGGCCAGAAACCAGACCCCGAGTGGGCTTGTAGAGGGCCTCATAAGGACAGAGCGAGCAGGCTCTAAATTCATCCTTGGAGGGTTCATGGAGGGGCAGCCATGTCTCGAACACTGAACCAAAGTGGTCTAGGCAGAGTGTGCAGCCTATCCAAACATAAAGAGGCAGACAGGAGGGGATCACATAGGAGGAACTGGGGATAGACTCAGGGAGGGGGGAACACAGGGCGGCCCATGACAGAAGAGCAGAGAGGCAGGGCTGTGATCAAGAGTGTCACGGTCATATTGAGTGTGCATTTCACTGGAAAGGTGAAGAGAAACCATCAAAACACTTTAAGCTATGTCACAGCACAATAAGAATTCCAATTGGGGAAGATCACTTTTCCCATTTTCGGAGGGATGGGAAACAGATAGGAAAGAGGAAGATCCATTATGAAGCTTCTACTATGGGTCAGTGTATCGTCTGGTTCGGTGTATCATTTTTGCCTGAATAAATGAGAAGGGAACCACTCTGGACAAATAGCAGTAAATCTCTTTTGTAGTCTTGGGAGTTTTTTGTACTGGCCATCTCTTGCGTGTTGTAGAGAAGGTATATGAGAAGTTATAGTCAAAGAAAGGAAAGAGGGGGGGAGGAATGGAGGAAGGGAGGAAGAAAAATAGGAACCTATACTAATTTAGCACTACATCTGAAATAAACCTTGTGCAAAATATTTCTATGTCCTACTTTAATTTTAAATTGTGTAAATCCGTCATCCTGGTACTTAGCAGTGTAGTAATCAAGGATGCTGACTATCATAATGGTTCCTGAGTATTCCTATTATTTATACTAAACGTGCTTGTTATATATAATAACTTTTTTTTTAAATTTTTTTTTCAACGTTTATTTATTTTGGGGACAGAGAGAGACAGAGCATGAACGGGGGAGGGGCAGAGAGAGAGGGAGACACAGAATCGGAAACAGGCTCCAGGCTCTGAGCCATCAGCCCAGAGCCCGACGCGGGGCTCGAACTCACGGACCGTGAGATTGTGACCTGGCTGAAGTCGGACGCTTAACCGACTGCGCCACCCAGGCGCCCCATATAATAACTTTTTAAAACCTCCACTTAATTGGATTACCTATGTAACTGGAAGTGTTGACTAATCACAATATCTAGTTGTTGAAAATTCTGCCATTGTGTGTTGAACGCAGTCGACATTTACGGTCTTTCTTTGATGATTTAGGTTCTCAAAGAGGCTCAAGGTCATTACTAGGAACATCAGTCCTTGTAGGATGGTACTTTGGATACAGAGGTACTGGGGTGAACAGGTAATAACTCTGTTTAAGCCATGAAAGTTTTTTTTTTCCTCATTTTTTTTAATAAGACAAGAGTGACAAAGTCTGTGTGTGGGAATGCGGGTGCAAGTAACATCAACAATTTGGTTCACTGAGGATTCTAGACATTTTGGCTAATTGAGAAGACTAGCTCATTGGGTTCTCATTTATTAGGATTTTTGCTGCAAATGAATCCAAGGGAAAGAGCATCTCAAAGGATTAAAAACCAACACCCCTACAATAAGAAAGTGACTGTGAATTCAGTCCCAAAGGCAGCTTTGGGTGGGTCATGTAATATGTGCCTTTTATCTATTTAAAAGTAAAAATTATAGTAATGGTAATAATAACTAAAGTCGAAGGGTTATATAGATTGCCAGTCTGCGACACCAGCTAAACTGGAAGCTCTCCACAGCATCGTGCCCTGTCCGGCAGACCTCCAAATCAGGAAAATGACTTCACCATAAAATGGTCTCCAGCATTGGGGGGGTCCCCTGGCCTGGGCTCAGATAAAATTATGATGACAAATGCGTACTTCTTTCAAGTGAGTGTGGGGGAAAAAAGTAGATTCTGGAAGGAAATTATTCATCTATTGAAAAAAAATTAATTCCTGAAGGCTTTAGGATATAATTCTACAGATTACCATTTCTAGAGAACTAAATGAGACCCTGGAGCTCTGGAGGGTTTATTCACGTGTGTGCCTGTGTGTTTGTGTGCGCACACATGCACACACACAAATGATTTACTCCCAGGGAATAAATCATTCTATACTAGTAATCCAAAATGACTGTAGAATGACCTTACCCACTATCATAATTGTAACAGTCTACTGTTCAGAGGCTGATAACTCTCAATGATATCAATAAAAAAGCCATAGATTTCCCAAAATGAAGCATAGGGTTGACCACCTACACAGAGATTTACACCCTAAATACAAAGCATATGGGACCAGGTGACTGTTTATACCACCGAATTCACCAGATTATGCATTCAGAAAGCAGTTCTTGGCACAGTTTTCAGAGGGAATGAATATAGTACCTCTCCTACAGTCATCCATGGCAAAGCTTGTTCCTAAACCCACGGTGTTGTCAGGAAGCAAGCCAATCCAGGGACAGGGGCCAAACAGAAGAGTGAAGGGTGGGGGTTTGGGGAGGAAGCAGGGGCTACTTGCGTTTTGAAAGTCAATATTCATTCATTCACCAAGTAGCTGAGTGCATACTACCTGTGAGGTTCTCTCTCAAGCATGGGACATTGTTTATAAATGAAAGGAAAGGTAGGTACACCCCAAGTCCAAATCGCCAACTTTTCAGTAACATATTAAAATTTCTGAATTTTCTAGATATATTCCAGAGTTTTTCACCTATGTAGATTGAGAACCAAAAGCTCCAAACTGGTTTACGTGTCGTAAAATGCAAAATTAGTGGGGAAGGAAACAATTTTCCAGCACACTGGGACTGAACTAATCTTTGATCAGGTCAGTCTTTAGAATATGTGGTTGAATGCTTCAAAAAAATTTCAAGAGCTAAATAAGCATAATGTGAAAATATTAACAATGGTTGTCTCTGGGTAGAGGGTTTTGAGCGATTCTTTTCTTGCTCATTTCGCATGCTCCTGTTTTCAATAACGTGACATATATTACTTGGATAACCAGAATGAGAAAGTATTCTCAAGTTAGAACTGGTGTGATATGTAAAAACCCAAAGCAGATAAAATGTGACTGATTAGATTAAATGAAGGTAATTACTTGGCCATGAAATTGCCCAGCCCAATTATATAAGCAGTCATTACTGTAAATGTATGCTTTACCCTGGATTCTGCTAGATAAGCCCCAGCACAGTTTTCCATGTGCTGGAATAAAAGCACGCACGCGTTGCAGACAAACTGGATTTTACGACCGTGTGGGTAGCTGTGCCTACCAAACTCTTATCCCAAATTGTTTTTTGAGACAAAAGCTAAAAGAGCTGCTTTGCCAATCTTTAAGCCTTTTTATCTAAAGGATATTATATTATAATAAAGTCAAGATTTCAAATTCCTGGCTCCATTCAGCTGTCGTTGCAAAGGAGGTAATTTTCGATGTCCTTTTCTTCTAATGCCACAGTCCCCAGGCTAGACACTGGGGTTGAACTGGAGCCACAGACTGCGAAATTTGCATGTTGCCTCTGAAACTGACTGCTGCTGCCTGCCACGCCCGTCCTCTTCAGCTCAGTCGTGTGCATGTGCGTGCATGTGTGTTGCGTGCGCATGGAGTGTGTGCGTGGTGTGCACGTGGTACGTGTATGTTTGGCGTGGTTTGTGGCGATTCTCAGCAGGGAAAATACTGCAGTCATCTAGAGCCTGCCACGCTCCCAGCTCTGCTTTTGTTTCCTCGCCCTTCGATATTCTTTGGGGCTCTGCAGGAAAGGCAGTGTGCATCTCCTCACACCTCCTGTCCCTAGCATGCAGGGCCTCTTGGCCCAGAGTAGGACCTCATAAACGTACCTCCTGAACGAGTGGTTAGCCGAACGAAACGGGACAACTCCCACAGAACAGAATACTCTTAATGATTTTAGGGCGACACTGTATCATTTCTCTGACCTAGATACCTATCATGTGACTTTCCTGAAACATTCTATTCCCGCATTAGAGAGAAGGAAACAAGGGTCTATACACACAAAATCTTAACACGGCAAGAAGTTGTGCGTGGATGACGGTGGCAGGTTCTGTGCTTCAACTACATACACGAGACTCTATAGAAGACATGTCCTCCTGTGTTAGCTGTCAGCAGATGTATACAATCACTAACATCTCTTTTTATGTTTCTAGTCTTAAACGTTCTATGCTCCACTTTAATTGATTACATCAAGTTGTCATCAGTCTGTCCCTAAGCAGTATATAATTACACAGTCATATCATCCACTTAATGGTCGATTCTCTTCTCATTTGGGGAGAAAAAAGAATAAATGTGGCTATTATAGATCTGCCTGGCCACATGTTTGAAGCA